CCCCCCCCCCCCCCCCCCCACACACACACACAGACACACACACAAAATAAAAAGGTTCAAATCAGCCAATCAAAGCCCAAACTGAATGACATGGGTGTATGCAAACTTCTAGTCTGGTTCAAACCAGACCCTGTCCTTCACTTTGCTTCGTACAAGGGTCTGGACTTGATGCATAGAGAAGGGATTCTTGCAGGAGGCGTGGCCTCTGCTGAAGCATGTGTGTGTTGTCGCTGTAAAGGAGGCTAAGCTAAGAAGCTAACCGGAAATCACGTGTGCTGTAAACAACCCTACTGAGAGGAGAAATATACCGAGCCGAACGAGATGACTGTAAATGAGAGCTGCTGCTTTGTCAGACATATTTAATTTAACTCGGAAGCCTTATCAACACAGACTGGCTTCATTCACTTTCTCCACTGCCGTATGATAAACTAACTAGCAGACACTGCGCAGAAAATCAAATTCCTTCAAAGCTCCTCATTCTGTTCTCTGATTGGTCCAGGTAAAATAAACTACAAGCAGACACTGCGCAGAAAATTGACGTTCTGTTCTCTGATTGGCCCAGGTAAAATAAACTACAAGCAGACACTGCGCAGAAAATTGACGTTCTGTTCTCTGATTGGTTCGGCTAAAAATCTGCCAGCAAAATCCTTGTCAATGGGAGAAGTCCCAGACGGAGCAGAGAAGGGAAACTAGAATTGAGCAGAGCTGCGTAGGAAGGCAAGGGCCAGGCTAGAAAACATCTGTACGATGTGACCTGAACACAGCTCTTTAGGTCCTACATCAAATGCTTTCCAACTTGTTTTTACATGAAACTAAAAAGCAGGAGCTCCTGGGCTCAGTGTTTATCGTCTGCATGCTGCAATTAATCTTTTAATTTTGAATCTCATCTCCAATTTTAAAGCTTGAAGTGTTTTCAGAGTGATGAAAGGCAGGATGTAAAACTGCCAATTCTCTTGATTGCCTCTGAGCATGCAGGCCTCTCTAAGGAATAAAAGCTGCAGTAAACCCATCAGTGTCAGAAAGCCTCAGCTCACTGAGACCTTGATGCTGACAAGCAGCTATTGGCAGTAATAGACTTCTGCTGTCACTATCTGTAATTTAATGAACCGTAAAACATTAATAAATTGACTAAAAGAGAGCAGAAAGAGGCAGAGTACACAACTCAAAGACATTTAAACCCAAAGTTTGGAAGTTTTCGATCCATACAGAGTCCTGAGCGCTGCTTCTTACCCAGGAAACTGGAGACAAAGATTGTTGCAGACCAGGACTGGGCTCAGTGTTGATCAGACCAAGTTTAATAAAACCACTCATGGCCTTCGAGAAACCCTGAGGGACAGAGCAGGAGATGAAACAGGTCAGTGAAGACAGGAAACAAAAACATTTCATTTTTAAACCAGCTTCAATCTGACCCTGAACAAGACCATCAAACCAAACCAGTCCAGGTAAAAGCTTCCTCTAAACCGGTCTAATCTAAACCTGTTCTGAGCAAGCATGAAGGTGACAGTGGGAAGGAATGACTCCTTTTTAACAGGAAACCCCTTCAGCTCAGTGGTGTCATGCATGTTGCAGCTCCAACACACCTGGAATGATTCACAGGCTTCTGTAGAACCTGAGGAGCTTCTGAATAGAAGAAACATCTATAAACATGTAGGAAATGACTCTCAAGGACCAGGACTGGACACCAGTACTCTAGTAGACGAGGCTCAGGATGAGCAGCCATCTGCCTCAACGAGCTGTCAGTCATGTAGGTTTGAACATGTCGACTTTAAGAATCATGCAGGTTTTAGTGTTTGAACAGGGCTCAGTGTAGAAGCTGAACCTTGAAGCGCAGCGTTCCTCTGATGAGCGTGTGGGCGCTCTGGATGCCGTAGGGCTCGGCGTATTTGGTGCTGTCTCGATTTGGAAATCCCTCCAGGTTGAAGCCTGGGAAAAAATCCATGTCTGTTGTGGAATCCATCAAAGAGCCACCAGCTGGGACGTTCACCACCTGAAAGACAAACAAACATCCAGCTAAATATCTGGCTGGCTGCAGCTGTTTGACACTCACCAGTGACTCAAAACTCTGAGAAACTAGTTTTCTGTTGCAGTTTCACTGAAATCTGACCGTCTGCCAACAAGTAACCAGCCATCCAAGTAGTTCTGTTGTGCTTATTGTCATGAGCACAGCTTATAAAACTGTATTCTACAACATTACCCACCTCTGCTCACACAATACACAAATGAAGAAGGGGAGATTTGGGTCAGTTTTTAATTGCAAATACATGCAAATACAAATATACAGTACTTGTTCTCTTTAGATGGGTTAGAAACAGCTGTGAAACAACAATACTGCTTACAACAAGAGTTTGAGATCAAGAAAAAATTATTTAAAACTGAAGCGACAATTCCTCCGCTACTCGCAGAAGAAAACTGAACTAGAGATATTTTATAAACTCCAATGTTTGCCAGTGAGATACTTCATTAAATCACACAAAATGAATACTTCCAGTTAGGGATGTAAGTTATCAAATAAAGAATTAATCTAAAGTTGATTGATCTCATCAGTTCTGGATGGTATTGACCATACCAAAGGCACTAATGCATCCTCATACCATCAGAGAGGCTGGTTTTTGAATAGTGCAGTGCTGCTGAAAGACTAAAGCTGAAGGACATCCAGCATTTTAGATTCGTCCTTTACACAAAGATTTTCAAGTCTCCACAAATTCCTTTTAAGGAACATGGTTTTGCCGTTTTTGACAGTTTGTTTCAGATGGGTTAACTTTGCTCTATCTTTATCCCAGAGATTCAGCCGCTCTAGATACAATTTTAACTTTACCAGTTAACACTGTATATTCAGTTACAAAATGCTTCTGCAGCTGATTATTATTCCCATCACTTATCAAATCACCATCAAGTTTTAAATTGTCTTATTTTTTCCTATAAAATTCTAAAACCTTTTAGTTCAGTATTTGATAAATATGATTACTGTTTTACTGTGAAGGTATGGATTTTTTTTAAATACAAATCATTAAAGTGAGTTTTTTTGGACAGTTTGTTGAGCACTGTGGTTGTAAATGATGATTTCCAAAGTTTTGTGTACCTGGTTGTCTTTAAGAAAGATGGCAGGGCTGATAGAGTTGAGCAGGACACCATAAGGACTCCAGCTGAACTTGTAGCGCAGAGGATTGTCTGAACACTCAGGAGCAGGAAGACCACCACAGAACGAGCTGTAGGACTCCACCTAGACAACATACACAGAAGTATACGATAATAATTATTAAAAGCTTCTGTGTCTGAGTAATAAACCGCTTCTCTCAAACAAAACGCATTGATGACTCACAATGCAGCCGTCAGCTTTAGCTTGTTCGATACACTCCATGGCCAGCATGTGATCGATGCCGGGGTCCAGTCCCATCTCATTCAAGATGGTGATGCCGGCTTCTTCAACACTGACACACACATCAAACGTGTTCTCACATTACCTCAGACACTTTATTTATAGTTCATTTTTACCATCATCTGTAGAAGTTCATTCATTAGAAATCACAAAACAAAACATATCAGTCGTTTTCTACAAGTCAACTATAGAAACAGAATCACACAGGTTGTTTGTAACAAAATATCTGAGGTTACATTTAAATATCTGTTCTGTACTGACGTGTTGACCAGATGGGTTTGTTCTTTCAGCTGCATTTTGTACCCCTGAATGTTTCAAATATCAGGGTTAAATAGTTAAAAAGAATGGGCGCAACAATACATGTGCCCGTATCGAACCGTTCAATACACACTTCTATCGAACACTACAGATTTTTTACATTTATTTTATCAACCTGAAGATGCTCTGTGTTGAAGGATCAGTGGATCTGTGTTCGACTACTCCACCTATGCTGCACTGTCGAGCACAAATCCACTGAGAAACTTGCTGTTTCAGAAACATTTAATTTAAAAACTGTGCTTTTGAGGTTAAACAAATGTTCATAATTAATATAAATAAATTTCAAGTTAATAAGGGCATGGAAATTTCTCTTTTTTTATTGAAAAAATATCAAAAAGTCAAAGTATTGAACCGAATCGTGAATTTTCTGTATCGTTGCACCCCTAATAAAAAGGTAAAGCTGAACTAAATCCATGTTCAAATAAACCAAAATGACACAAGTCCACCTTGAAGTTAACAGAAAACATTTTTACACATCACATTTTAGCTCAACATCTGCTAAACTGAGCTGGAGTCAGATTTGTGTTGGCTAATGTCAAATAGCTGTGGTGGCCATCTTGAATCAGGCTGACTCCAAAAGTTTAGTTAATCAAATCCGGGTTTTAAATTCTGAGAATATTCTTAAAAACATCCAGAGGTTCGTTAGAAATATTGTTTAAAACTGTAAACACATGTTAATACCTGCCTGTAAACGTGACAGCTGCTCTGTGTCCTCTGCTTACCTGCTCTGCAGCTCCTTCATGGCAGGACTCAGGTAGCTGGCTGTCACCATGTTCACCTTCCTCCTGATGCAGTGTTTAGCAATGAGGGGGTGGAATGAGTAAGGCAGCATACTGAGGAAGACGAGGAGGTAAAACAGATTAGGGTTTAGTGAATATTCTTTGAATTGGTTTTAAGTTAAAAGTCTAAAATTAACACCTGATCAAGTTCAGAATGAACTAACATTCTTTTAGACCCTAAACAAAGAAGTGTTGCTAGTTTTACCCTGATGGTCAGAAAGTTTTCTGCTGTGTGCTGTGCAGGTTAGCAAACTGCTCTTTAATCATCTGAGAAAAACTTTAAAAGCTAAAGAGATTAATGTAAGTGAAACATTAATTCAAGTATTTATTAAACTGGTGGAATAAATAATGGCTGCCGTACCTGATGACCAGGTGGTGATCACTGATCAGAGTGTCCAGGTGTCCCTCATGGCTGCTGACATCCAACATCACTGGGATTGTGTTGGGATTCTTAGCTGCCAGCTCCTCTGACTGCTTCAGAAGCGCCGAAGCTGGAGAAAGTTACCAAATGAGATTTGAACACTTCTTTCCCTGCACGGTTTGAGTAATGAGCCAAATAATGCTGGCCATGTTTGTTTAAACTGCTGCCGCACAGGTACCAGGAAGTGATGGACATATTTTCAGTCACAATCTCACCAGAAAGAAGACAGACAGTCCAAAGTTATTTATTTTATCACTGTCAGTAAAATCTGAGGCAGCTTCCTCTTGTGTTCTTGTGTCCACAGCTGTGTGCCATGAAACCATTTAACTCTGTATTTTCAGTGTTTATACCAGGGGTGTCAAACTCATTCTCACAGAGGGCCACATGAGCGTTATGGTGGCCCTCGAAGGGCCACTTGTAATGAACTTTGATGTTTCATGTTTAACTTTGACTCAACAGTGTTTTAACACATCCTCTTTAAAACACTAGCTGCGCTTCCATTGCAAATGTGCGCAAAACTTTGTTGATATTCTGTTACTGTCGAAAAACACAGTTTCAAAATTGCAGTGTTTCCATTAAGTAAGAAATGCTATTAAAGTCATGAGTGAATACGTTTGTTCTCACGATAAGTCATTAAAAACATGGCGGCCATGGATGTAAACATATAGCATATTGCTACCACGACACTAGCGCTCATCATCAGCCATCAGAAGAGATGTCGGCGTCTTTTATCGAGGCATTCAAATGACAAGCCCCTTATACTTGGAGCGGCTACATATGCAGCGTTTTTGGGAAAATGTAGTCGGTGAGTTTAATACTTTCTTTTACTACTTCGGTGATTTTACTACTACTTTTACTTCCTGTTATCTTCTTCTTCTTCATCATCTTTTTCGCCAGTAGAAACAGCCGGTTCTTGATCATGTGACTTCTGTGATGCGAAAAGTGCTTCCATTGCAGTTTTGCAAAATATATCAATTTCAATACGGCCGAAAAACCGTCTCTTCCTAGCGCAAAACTATTTTGTTGAAAAACGTAATTATTTTTTAAATTGACGTATCCATTGAGCAAATTTATTTTCAAAATTCCAACTTGCACATTTGCATGGTCAACGAAAACGCAGCTACTAAGAAGAACTAAGTGTACGACTGACTAAATCTGAAATAAATACAGAAATATTATTTAAAGTAAAACTAATAAAGTGTTACTCACTGATGTGTTTCTGGTGAGTAGCTAGTATGTACTGTATTATGACAGATTTAGTTTATGGTTGAAGTTGACTTTAAAGAAGCTTATTTTCAGACATTATCACTGTGCTACCCAACTAAACTGCTCAGTTACTTAAAGTCAAAAGCTCAGGGGCAGGACAATTGTTATCCGTTACCTTTTAAACTTATTTTGTTACATTTAACCATAAAATTTAAAGTTTACCATTAATATAAGTAACAATTTTCATGTTAAAAAAATTGTCACCTGCGAGCCACATGGTTTATACTATTATTATTTTTGCATTAATGAAAACATGGATTGTTGTGATCTGAGAATAACTGTAGAGACGTTTCCTCCTCTGTGTGCTGTCAGTCCTTGGTGCACCATGGCTCACCAAGGAAATCTGTTTAAAGACATTTGTTCTGCAGGTTCAAGCTCTCGTTAAGGGTATCAGGTGCATTGACAATAAAAACATCGTGTTAGTAAATAGCCTGTTGACTTAACGCTACAAAGAACAAACAGGTTTGATGAACATATCAAAAATCATCAGTTGCTGGACTGTCGACCAGCCCCAGTTAACATGTGACTGAAGAAAGTAATAAAAAATATTTTCCTCATTATTCTATTCATTAAGGTCTCTATTGTAAACGAGACTACCTTTCTCAATGAGATACCTGTCTAAATGAAAGTAAATATAAATAAATCCTAACAGGAAAGGTTCGGTTTGGTTTTTTGTCAGACTGTAAGGAAAATATCAATGTGTTTTTTATACAGTGTGTGTAAACATCTGGTCTTAACTGTATCTTTCAACATCTGTTAAAGCAACTTTCAGCCACTACAAGATTAAATAAAACAGACTGAACTATGGCTGTTTTACTTTGGCTCATGTGGATTATTGCTGTTAGCTTTCTGTTTGTGTTAAATGGTGAAATGCTTCGATTTAAAGAATGTCTGTTATTTCTTGTTTCCATGAGGTAAAAAACATCAGTACAGAACCAGAACCAACCAACCAAAGACAACATTTTATAAACTTACCAACAGTGACCTGGGTCTTCTCATCGCGGGTTAGATACTCAACAACAGGGCCGGATACGTAACCTGATCCGAGCAGCAGAACCCGCTTCATACCAGTCCTCTTCATAATCTGAGCCTTTTCCCTGAACAACAACAACAGAATCAGCAACACGTCAGAGGTGTCAAAGAAAGACTGCAGTATGATTCCACCCAACAGATGTGTCAGAAGGGATCAACAACCATCTCTTTAATTCAGACTTTAATTGGAATTGAAAAATAATTTCTCATTTTCAAGTGATTTTAAAAATCATTCAAGATCACTGGAAATTATCATTATTGTTTCACTTCACTTTGAAGGAAATAACTTAATGAAAGATCATCAACAAAAGTCAAAGGGGGTGTTTTCATTGGTCTTTTTTATTGAATTACTGAGGAAATTTAAAATATGATGCTTCAATTAGATGATTAAGTCTGAATCTAAGGTTGTTGGAAACAGTTATTTAATGGACCACAACTGATAAAGTTTTACTGACTGAGGCTATCAAAAAAAATCTATTTTTTAAGAAACTACAAAACGAATGTTGGGTTATCATTGTCAAGTATTGTGTATCTTTGTCTCTAACTATAAAGTTCTCTTTTTTGTGATATGGTTTATTAAATCAGAAAAAATAGCATTTTTTATGGAATGCTTATTACCAACTGCCTTGCCAAAGTTATCTCATGCTCATTTATCCTGCGACTTTCAGCTACTACCATATCAAATTTTAGCTCAGAATCTGTAAATGCAAACCTATGTAATAATGTAACTTAGACGTCAATATATTGGGAATGAAATTCTGTGAAATTCAATGAATTATAAAATACATTTAAATGTAACCATTACATGATCATTAATAACCGAAAATGTGACGTTACAATAAATCAAAGCATTCATTGTCACTAAGAATTTAAAAATCATATAAAAAAACATTACAACTACAACTCTGTTCCCAACATATTTTTTTTACAGAACACAATCGAATATAGAAAAACTACAAGAACTTGTACTGTATGTGACTACAAACATGGCTTTATTTCAATAGTTTCTATTTAAAAAGTCTGATTTGACGTAAAGCATTAACACCAGCATTATGATATAATCTCCCAAAGTGACTTGTGGCATTATTCTCACACTACCTGCCCCCCTCCAATCTCCCTGGAGTCAGACTCGGACACTCGTTAGCGCTGGCCTAATTGGATGTGACACTACACACATGCACATGTCACAGCACAACCGACTGGAGGCTTGACTGGCAGTCTCCTTAATTAAAAAGAAAAGATAAACGTTCCCCCAGCAGGACTTCTTCCATAACCATAAATATCTTAAGGAGACAAACTATAAAGGATTAAGATTTTGGTGGCATGGCTTGTCTGGAAAAAATTGATACTTAGGATCAAGAAGAAAGGAACCTCATCAAGTCTTGGAGGTGGCCTAAATACTGGTGAGGGTAAGCCTTGGTAGGAATGACCAGTTGGTGTTAACGGGTGGATGTGGTTTGTGGGGTAAAAGCACAAGTGGTCCACAAGACACAAGCGTGCCATATTCAATACAAGCATTATTTCTACACACTGACTCAGAAGAGGCTGACATTTAAAAAAAAAGAAAAGTCCGTTCATAAAGTCATTGAGAACAAATCTAATTTGAGCCTGACTGATTATCTACAGAAACGGATACCGTTCTACACCTCGTGCACAATTATTGGGCATTGACCGTATCACCATTTTTAGGCGTATTCTCCAAGCTGGATAAACTTAAGTGCTTATTGAATTTAAGAATAGCAGGTGACGTGTATCTATGTAATGAGGGAGGGTGTGGCCTAAGGAGGTCAACAACCTACACTATATTGCCAAAAGTATTCGCTCACCTGCCTTGACTCACATATGAGCTTAAGTGACATCTCATTCCTAATCCACAGGGTTCAGTATGACGTTGGTCCACCCTTTGCAGCTAGAACAGTTTCAATTCTTCTGGGAAAGCTGTCCACAAGGTTTAGGAGTGTTTAGGGGGAATTTTTGACCATTCTTCCAGAAGCACATTTGTGAGGTCACATACTGATGTTGGACAGAAGGCCTGGCTCTCAGTCTCTGCTCTAGTTCATCCCAAAGGTGTTCTAGCAGGTTGAAGTCAGGACTCTGTGCAGGTCAGTCAAGTTCATCCACGCCAGATTCTGCCATCCATGTCTTTATGGACCTTGCTTTGTGCACTGGTGCACAGTCCTTTGGATGGGTGAGAAAATACCTTTGGCAATATAGTGTATATGATGGTGTGCATATTTATTATGCAGCTTCTTTTCTTAGAGCAAAATGGGCCAAAAACTTGATTTAACACACTGAAAAGTCAAACATGATCAATAGTCTCTCAGAGGGATACAGCACTCAAGTAGAGTGCCAAGTTTAGTTGTGTGCAAAGTTTACAAGATGAAGACGCAACACTTTGGGAACACGACAAATGTGCTCGCATGATCAGTTTTGAATGAAAAATCCAGGTAACTTTCGTCTGTTTCAGTCCAAGCCAGAAAAATTCAAGCCATATTCGGTTCCTCTTTCCAAAATAAAATCTCTCCTCGGGAGTTAAAACACACACTCAGAGGCTTGAAGCCTCAATTTGGAACCAGCGGCAGGCGTGCCGGGTCCCTGGCTGTGAAGTCTTCCCTAATTAGCTCATGGGATCAGACTTAAAGCCAAACTGAGGTTTCTCCGGAGAGAATCCCAGCTGTCTTCCTAGATTGGAATCAGGAAGAAGAGTGTGTCGCTCAAAGCCGTCCGGGTTAGTAAAAGAAATGGACGAACTTTGGTTCCRCCCTCAGGCTTAGAGATGAGTCAGAGAAAGAAAGATAAAGATTTGCCAGCCCAAGGTTAAAATTCTGTGGTTGTTCAACAACGTGATATGATGACCTCTTTTCAGCTTTCTTCTGATAGACTCTAAGAGAAATCACTGCAAAACATTTATGGTGATTAATTAACATTTATGTTTTATAATCAGTTCTAAACCTTCTGTTAGTCCAGATAAATGAAAGATTTTCTCAGGAAAAATCCACAATTATATTACTGTGTTCACAGTAAAATAAAAACAGTGATTTACATAAAAACACAATGAAAACATTGTAATCAGATTCTCTGTGATTTTTTATACCATTATAAATCTTTAAGGCACGATAAAAGAAAAGAAGTGGTTCCACTTTTCCTGTGACAGTCATTATCATGATTTAACAAATGCATAAACATTCTTAGTTAAACAACAAATGAATCACGAACAGAAGAGATTGTTCTGTCCATTATCTGATTAAGAGAACTGAGGGGTTCTCTTCCACGGTTGGAATGACCTGTCATGGCCTAAATAGAGTTCAGTTTGTGACAGAGTTCCTGTCCTCTCRTCAGGCCTGTCCRAGGCCTGCTTCRAGGCAGTAAATCTTTTTTCTTCACTCGTGGTGACCCCTACAATGTGTTTTTGTGTTTTGCTTTTTTTTTGTCCTTGGTATAAATGTCAGAAAAAACAGACATTTATGACAGGAAAGTGAAGGATTCCATCAGGAATGAAGTGAAAAAGGAGATTATTATTATATCACAAGAGGAAAGAAAAAAGTGACTAACCTCACTGGCATATTTGGCTGGTCACCTTTAAAAATCTGCACCTTTCTGAAGGACGACGACGAAATAATGAAATGAACATGGTCGAGGGAGCATCAGCAATTGGAGGACATTTGATCAGAAGTAAAGGTGCTCACGTTGAGTGCAGTTAAAGAGGTGTGCACCACGCACAATGCCAACAAACTTGTCCTTATGTTTTGTCAAAAAAGCAAGATTAACGTACTCTGAAAGTAAAGTAACAAATACAAATATCCAAATGTTTTAACCATAGCAATGTTTCTAGTTTTTTTAATACAAAATATTTTATGCATTCTTTTGCTAAAAGATTTATATTGCTAGACCTCGTGACAATGTGCCCCTGACACACGCAGGCCTTGGACAAAAAAAGCTGTTTTCCTGATTCATTTGTTTAAAAAAAAAGTACTTTAGTGTCAAAATATTTAAATGATGTGAGTTGTGAAAAAATTGACTTTTTTTTACCACAGTCAACGACAAAGTATCAGATACTGCTATGTTAAATTATTTTCATTATAATGAATAGATTCTTACTAATAATTTCTCTAAAGAGGCATGAAACACAAAAAATGTCAAAACGTTACATTGTTTTGTTTTTCACAAGTCATCTACAAAATACATCCAGATGAGAAGTTTGTTGGTGCTTTTTCATTTAAGAAACACACTAAATTGTTTTAAATAATTCCTTTGATCCAGTTTTTCAGGGACCTTTGTGGGTTTTTATTTCTCTAACACGACGGTACAAAGAAATTAGGTAAATAGTTTAAAAAAGTTCAACAAATAAATAATCCAACAGATTCTTCTGCAGGTTTCTAACAGGACCACCTGCAGATGTGTTTGTGTTTCTTTCCTATCTTCTCATTCGCAGTGATCAGGACAGAGGATGACACACCCTGAGCCTGGTTCTGGTTCTGCTCGACGTTCTTTCTTTTGTCACCAGTGTACTGCTCAGGATGGGGGACCGTGTCAAAGTAAAGATTTGATGCTGGCTTTGTTATGTAAATTTTACTAATTCATAATGTACTGTATATGAATTAGGGTTGGGCAAAATTGTATTGAGTGCAATTAATTGTCATAAAACCTTTTGCTGGTTTTTATTTGGCCTTGGTGATTAATACAGTTAATGCTGCCAGCAGACGCTCCTCTTCTCTTCACTCTTCTATTCTAAACAATGGATCGCCCACTTCCTTGTCAGAGTCCTCACTCTGTCTCAGACTGTTTTTTCCTCCACCTCTGCCTTTGAACTTCTCTTCACTCTCTGAGAAGGTTCTGACTGCAACAAACTTTAATAAAAATGTGTTACTTTCTTGGGTTTACTTTGTCTCAACACAGTTTAAAAACTCAATGGTAGCTTGAAGCCTGTACTTTTGACACAAATTGGAACAGATTCTTAGAGAGAGCATATCTTTCCCCCTAGAGTGATTTAAATTGGGATCCAGGGACTCCAGGGGATTAATCGTCATATAAATCATCATCGACTAAATTCAATAAAAATCTAATCATTGACATAAATTGAATTTAAATGAACTCTGACAAAGCTTGCATTTTACCACTACCTCCGCTAATTGAAATCTTTACTTTTGATTTGACAAGAATCACAAAAATCAAAGTGGTATTCATCATCTAATCCAGCTTCAAACTCAAGAAGAACCCAGAATCAGATGCAACACGTGGACTGATCGGATCAAAGATCATTTTTGATGTAAAGTGTAAACATGCTTCTACCATTCATGGGTCAGCTCCAAGCCTCTAAAAGTGGCTAGCAAACGTTGTTTACAAGCACACTCGCCAAGCAAGAAGTGAATGCATTTATAGCCGAGCCCAGAACCATCACTGTACAGGAACAAGCACAGTGTCTGTCAGAGGCTCTCACATGACTGCAGGATCTTAAAACAGCACAAACTGACTTTAAGTCCTTATGAAAGAAGACCTACCTTTCTTCTCGAAGCTTTTCGATATACTCGAACTTTGGGGTGAGTACTCCGTTAGAAGTGATGACAGCCTTGAGGAACAAATGAATAAAAACGTTATTTTACATAAAACTATAGGTCAGTTGCTTCAGCAGCATGAGTGAACGTCTCCCTCAGAGTGAAGCTCTTATTACATCACAGCAGCCAGGACAGGCTGGGTCCCTCCCCCCGTACACACGACTGTTCCTGCACTGACACTTTATTCTAAAACATTCCCCTCTTCCTCACAATGTCACAGCAAGCAGGATGACTTGGTGAGAAACTCACTCATGCTACTAAGAGAAGCAGGGTTATGAGAGTTCGCTAAAGTTCTTTTTCAGTTAAAGTTCAGGGAGTATGAATACTTTTTCAGGGCACTATACTTAAATTTATGGTCTTTAAAACTACAGTTTAAACGAAGCATTAAGGTGGAACACAACAGTATCAACATTTTGTTACATTTATTCTCTGATGAGCTTGAGATCATGAGATAAATGACTCTTCTGGAATGACTGATTTGTTGTATAAGAAGAAAAAAGGCTTCACTCACGTCTCTAACTTGGGGACTAAATTCCTCTTCCTCCATTGGTCTAGTGGCATCTGAAAGCAGCTGTAACAAAAACATTCAATTAATATTGAGATGAAGTGTTAGAGCAGGGGTCTGACATCTGCGGCACATGTGGCTCTTTGAAAATGTGACCAAACATAACAGATTTTTTTGTTTGTTTTTTTGTTTTTATACCCACAACAGAAATCCATTAGTATGCAAATGAAAAAAATGTTGTAACTGATTAATTCAATATTAGATTCAGTTTTGTATTTTATACTTTCTGATCATTTCAGTCTGTAAGGTTAAAACAGACAAAGAGTTGGTGTTTGTTTTATCTTCTTTCTTGAGCCGAAACAAAATGAGTTATGTTCTGACATCTGATGGGCTGTAACCAGGAAGAAAGATACATTAAAGCTCAGTTCATTATTATGGTAGGAAGAAGTTGAACCTGATTGGAGTCAGAAGATTAAAAATAAAGTTTTAAAGAAGAAATCGAACTGGTTCCTGTTTGTTCAGACATACCATTTTGAACAACGCATATTTTTCCAACACAAATATGTGATCAGTAATACTAATACAAAAAGTAAAACATGCTAATTCATGCTAGCCTGTTGTTTACTTAAATATTTTAATTTCTTTCTATGATCTTTCCCTCAAATCCATCAGAATTACCTTTAAATAATTTGAAGACTATAATAATAAGAATTAGAAAATAAATATGCCTGAATAATTCAGTTGTACTAGTTTTTATGAGATTCAGTATAAACCATATATTTTTCTTGTTTACATGAATATGGTCCTTTTTTATTTGTCCTGATGTGTATAATAATAAACAATATAATAATAATAACAATATTCCTTTAGTTTTATAATGTCACCTCCAACTGACAATAAAGGTTCCCAAAAAAGGCCTTGAAAAGGCCCACGGACCACCAGTTGTAGCTTATTTTGAGGCTCTGGACACATTTTATTAGTGAGACAAGCAGCAGAAATGGCTCTTTTGATGGTAAAGGTTGCAGACCCCTGGATTAGAGGGTTAGTTTTCCTCAGTTCACCAGGTGAAACCTGCTGGAGCTTTCTCCCACAGCAAACTAAATCAGGAGTTCTTCTGAAGGAGAAACAGAAAGGCACAAAGACACAACACCTTACCTAAAATCCAGATGTCTTACCATCTCCCAGATGTAGGGGAAGAGTCTGTCTCCAAAGTACTCGGTGGCTTCAAGGGGGAGCTGAGCAGGAAGGTTGTCAATGGAGCACATGAGGATCCCATTTCCCTCCACACTGACATGACCAACAGAAAAACAAACCAAAACTTTCATGAAGAATAATTTAAAGAGTCACTGTAGCTACATATTAAATCAACTTTCTCCTAAAGCCCAGTAGTATTTGGGTACTTCAGTGATAATCTCAGCTGATGAAATGAAAACATGCTGTGATGACCAAAGTTGGCCATTTTGAAGAATACGAAGAAGAGCTTGAAGATAAAATTATGAGCTCAAACACGATGAAAGTCCATGAGAGTTTGAGTGTGTCCACTCTGCACTTTGATGGGATTTGAGAAGAATGCAAATATAAACACTAATTTCATAAACATAAGTACAAACTTAGCAAACAATAAAGTTATACGCAGTTTTTCTATTGAAATGCAGACATTTTCTCGAGCGTCTTTGCCTGATGAAGTGTTACAGTAAAATATTTTTTGCCGCTCATGAAAACAGTTTCAGACCAGAAAAAGACACAGAGGCAGTCACGTTCCCTTATTTTGTTCTTTTTCTATGTCCTGTTCAGCATTACTCAGATCTGAATCTCGTCATTGTTTTGGTAGAACAGGACAAAAACAAAATGTGATTTTTTTGTCTCCAGTAATCCAGAGACTCCAACATGAACATCAGGAAACCAAAACTTTTATACCATATTTATAGTTTTAATTTGTTTACATTTAGATTTTATGATTTTTCCCAGATTCTTACTTTTTACTGCCTTCTAGTTAGTTTGGTGCAGATTGCTCTGGCTGTTGCCAAAACAATAAAAAACAGGGTTGCCACACCTTGGTTTACATCAAACTCAAGAACCTTCCAGAACTCATTTACTCAAATTCGAGGACCACGTGCAACTACAACTACCTCTGAATGTTATCAATACATGGTTTTAGTACAATTAAATAAAAAACCGAATGGCATAAATGTTGAGTCCAAAGAATCCATGAAAGACAGTGGATTGAATGTAAAGCCTACATTTATCTCTACAATATTCAGCCTACATTTATAACCACAATACATGGCTATGTCTGTGAAGTCGAGTTGAGGTTTTGTTAAAGCCTTGAAGCTCTTCAGCAAATGTCTTGCAAAATGGTTCATTTCTCGAAGCGCCGACTCGGTGACTAACTCAATGTGAAAATTCACCAGCGAGAAGAATGTGCGCATAAAGCCCGTGCTGTTACACAGACATTAACTACGTTGACTATGTAAAGAAACCAAGAACACAGTGCAGAAAAAAATGCAAATATTGACACGTTGACATCAGTCATCATCCATGTGAAATTTCCATGGATTAAAGCTACAAACATTTTTGACTGAATTCTTTTCTACACCTAATGATTTTATATACATTTGAGAGCCTTTTTACTACATGCAGATCTAAGAGCTGATTGTTGTTGTTTTTTCATGAGACAACCGTGTGTCCTTCTGCCTGCCGTGCATCAAAAAGGATGGTCAGTTTCAGAAAAAAAATAAGTGAAATGTACTATATATCATAACTTCGGTTTTACTTGACCTATCAACACAGTTTAATAACTGGTGCAACGTTCAAAGTCTCTACTTTTGACTCAAATTGAAACAGAGTCTCAGAGAGGGTGTATCTTTCTGGTTACAGCGATTACAGTAGGTCGTGTTAACTAGGACGCTAGGAGGCGTAAAGGGACTCCTGTCACCTGTTTTGGTGCAAACAAAAGGAGTAAATACCGTACATGTGCATACACAACTTTTCAGTTTCATATAGTTTCCCAGAAAATTTTTATTCTCTTTATTTCACAATCTGAAATCTTTTAGTAGAATTATTATCTATTAAAAAAACTACACAAAAACATTGTATTATTTAAAAAAAATCCTGATCTGACCTTACCTGTCATGCTCAATGTGTTGGCCAGCGTCATACATGCAGAAAGGCTTATCGATAGTGGTACACTCATTCATAAACTCTATGGAGCCTCCAGAGTCTGCAGATATGTCACAGATGGCCAGCAGCCTGTGAAAACATGACAGCAGCTCAAAGTTTGATTTAATTAATCTTTAACATAGAGCTTTTTAATGATTTCTGCTAGATGAAGAAGGATGTTGTCAGCTTCCATAAGCTCCAGCCTGCACTTCAGTAGTTTGTGAAATGAACTGGGACTTCTTGGTGATTCGAAATGAGACATAACTAAACCACCTGAGAAGGTTACACAACTATTTCATTTTTCTCCAAGATTTTTTAGTTAATATTCTGTCTTCTTGCATTAAATGAAAACTACCATTAAAAAAATTAACTGTTCATATATTTGTAAGTAAAAAACTAACAAATCAATAGGGAGTGTCTGTACCAGCACCAGGTTGTCACTGGTCAGATCAACAATCTCTAGTAAAAAAAAGGAAGTGTTTTCACCAACTACTGATCAGTATTAGTTCTCTCATATTTTATTTAATGATTACACAATTTTAAAATGAGGCAATGGAAGTTCTTTACAAAGTTTGAAAATATTCAGTGACAATGCTGTCTTACTTGTGAGGCAGTGCAGGTGATCCTTCTTTGTTGACTGATGAGGTTTTGGGTGGTCTCATGAGCCTCTGAGCATCCAGTCGTCTGAGGAGTCTAGGGGTGTGAGGGTCCCAGTAAATGCCATTTATCAGACAAGTTGTGTAAGGAGCCACCTGCGGAACAATTCACGTCATTGGTGGCAACGTTCTGACTGTTCCAACAATCTGATTGTTCCAACGGTCTGACTGCTCCGTCATTCTGAATGTTCCATCGTTCTGATTGTTCCAATGGTCTGACTCTTCCATCGGTCTGACTTTTCAAACGGTCTGACTGTTCCAATGGTCTGACTGTTCCATCGGTCTGACTGTTCCATTGGTCTGACTGTTGAAAACGTCTGACTGTTCCATCTGTCTGAGTGTTCCAATGTTCTGACTGTTCCATCGGTCTCACTGTTCCATCGGTCTCACTGTTCCATCGGTCTCACTGTTCCATCGGTCTCACTGTTCCATCGGTCTCACTGTTCAATCTGAGTGTTCCATCGGTCTGACTGTTCCATCGGTCTGACTGTTCCATCGGTCTGACTGTTCCAACATTCCGACTGTTCCATCGGTCTGAATGTTCCATAGGTCTGACTGTTCCATCGGTCTGACTGTTCCAACGTTCTGACTGTTCCAACGTTCTGACTGTTCCAACGTTCTGACTGTTCCAACGTTCTGACTGTTCCAACGTTCTGACTGTTCCAATATTCTGTTGTAACATTTTGACTGTTTCAACAAGCAAATAATACAAGGAACCTGGACCCCAGAACTAAAGACCTGATCATCTGACAGTTCTACATGGGTAAAACTTGGTATAAATGGTTGCAAGTGATATGCAATCCTTCAAAAATGATAGAAAAAGAAACTTTTAAATTAAACTGCCTATTTTTTGAGACTTAACATATCTTCTTTGACAACAGTTTAGTTACTATAAAGAGTAAGGAAGTTATGTAGTTTTACAGTTAAGATTATTAAGTGTGAGTGGTTTTTACAAATAGTTAATAATAATAAAGGCTCTTTGATTCCTGAGACTAATATGTTTTAAAAACCAAACATTAGATGTTATTAAAGTGACATGTGAGATGTGCCTTGAAACACCAACATGCACCTGGGCCTGCAGACTGAAATAGAAGCCCTGAGTGTGACTGACAGGACCAGCTGGGAGGATCAGATAGGAAGTCAGAATGTTAGTGACGCAGCAGAAAGAAGCAGAAAACTCACACTGGTCCTGAAGTGAGACGTGTACAGTTCTGGGTGGTTCTCGTACTCCATGGGATCATAGATGCCATCGCTCTTCCTCACCAGGTGGTGGTGTCGGCTCAGGACTGTGGCGTACACTTTGGTCATGTCTAACAAGAGAAAGGCAGCTCACTTACTAAAACTATTAAGATGGCAATAAATATTAACAGCAACTAACATTTAAGGTGTGAGGAACTGAGAAATTACAAAACAAATTAAGTCTGTGTGATCTCATACCTCCTGTTTCAGAGGCATCCTTCAACTCATGAGGTTCAACGTATTCAACAGGAAGTTCATTGATGATATCTTGGGCTCCCTGTAAGAAAGCACCAAAACCTTCAAATATATAACTCTTCTCGGTACTTTGTTGTTGTTTTTTTTGCAGGTTCATTTCCGCATTTCTTTATTTCTTCTGTTAAATAGATGAAATTCATGAGTTAAACCTTTTGTGTACCTTGGAGACGTTTCCTGTTCCAGTGAAACAAAATGTAATAGGGCCAATAGATTTGGGCATGAGCCCGATGGAGATCTCATAACCACAGTCCCTCACTGCCTGGATGGCCTGACTGACGTTCCTGTAGTTATGTGCCATGCCAATATGCTGTAAACAGAAAAAAAGGTACATCAGTAGCAGTAAAATACTTTTGAACTACACTACGTACACTGTACAGTATGAGGTATTTTTGTCTGTTTTTGAATCAAAAGAAAAGATTTCTCACCATGAAGGGGGTGTGATGGCCGAGAGCTAAGAAGCGAAGCCCCAATCCATGCAGACTGTTAATCATTCCTGCAGAAAACAGGAGGAATTAAAATCATTTAAACAAAATTAAAGATCCAAATCATAAAATAATACACTGACTGGGTTTAGGATGAAGTTTCATCATCTCTAACTTTGACAAAATAAGCCACACTTCAGTTTCTATTTACAGTCCATTTCCTTTACCTATTTTTCCTTTTCTGCTGGTGGCTATCGCCAGCAGATACTGTGTGAGAGGCAGGAGACACCTGGACATGTGTTCAGTCCATGACAGAGACAAAAACTCACTCTCACCTAGTGATAATTTAGAGACACCAGTGAACCCAACATGTAGGTTTTTGGTCTATGGGAGGAAACAGGAGCACCAGAAAAAACCCACTGGTGCACAGAAGGCATTTTGCATTATAAGGCCAGGTTCGGTCTGCCCTGGCTCCAGTCAGCCTAAACTTATTGTATCACGGCCCTGGTTTTGTTTGCATTGAGCAGAGAGCCTCGATGTGGGTGGGATCATAATATTAACCACAGGCATCTTATTTTGTTTTATTTGTGACACAACAATAATGGACTACACTAAACTCAAAGGAAAAGTACCGAAGGCTGTACCGGACCAGCCAGCAGTATGACGCTGAGGACGAAAAGGGCAGAACAACAGAGGATGCTAAACTAATTGTAGCTAATGTTAGCTTGTTGTTGTGTAGATGAATTCATGTTAAAAAGAACGTTACATTCGTTGCAAATGTTTCACGTAAAGTTACTCTTATCTGTGTGACACTAACCACCCCAAGTCAGTAAATGAATCAATGAGCAGTAGTTGAAGACATCTAATTGGGCCAAGAAGCCTGGCCCGGCTAGAACTATAGGTTTCAAGGTTCCAGAAATCAGAACTGACCTAGGCCATAAAGGCTAATGCAAACATGCCTGGGGCGGGTCTTGAAGTGCAAAAAGGTCTGAAGCGAAGCTATGACCTCCTCATGAGAGGTAACAGCTCTAACCACTGCACCACCGTGCTCAGTTATGACTGAAACATCTATTATTTTCACACACCTGCCACACCAGCCCATTGACCAAACGCCACAATTCGATAACCGTTGGCATCAACCATCTTCTCATAGTCAATCAGACGAACCTCCTGAAGAGACAGAAAACAGTAAAAAGAACTTCAATATAATGTTTGTAATTTAAAATGGTGACTGAATGTGCTTGTTCTTTTCTTTTTGCAGTAACACTTGAGTTCAACAACACAACAGTCATTGTTCACAATCACATACAAGCTGTGTAAATACACAAGTGCGTAACTGTAAATGAAATATGCACAGAACATTTACACATTTCTGAAACAATCTTGACTTCCATGTTGTAGTTTGAGCTGATCTGCTCTAACCCAAAGCCAGAATCTCATCACACTGCACCACACTGTGAATATCATAGTTTCCACAATCCCTGAAATGTTTGCTGTGTTTTCAACCACTGTCTGTAAGATAATCATGTGCATGGCTTACAATACAGTTTTACAAGCTTAATACAAAAAAATAGACAAAAAAATGCTGCTTGTTGGTCTGAGACTTTCTATTATTTTTTATTGCAAACTAACACAGTATTATACTATGTCGTCACTACTGGAGTACTACCAATACTACAGTACTACAACTAATATACTACAGTTCTACCGCTTTTACCGAGTATTTTTAGTAAAAGAGTAGAACTCTAAGACAGCTTTTCAACAATGATGTGCAGCTCACCTTTTTCAGCAGATCATCCAAGAGACCCATGTTGGCCTCCTGCGCCTTAATGGTGTGGGAGAAAAAGGCATATGTCTTCCTGGGGATAACTTTGTCTTCTGGTGGTCTCTTTACTCCAACAATTAGGGATGCCTCTGAAATATCCTCCTGAACCACAGCCCCCGCTTTCATGTAGAACTGAAAATTAAACACAGGCCTAATGAAAACAACTGACAGCAATAAATCTAATTAGTGTTTTTTAAGTACTTAAAAAAGCTGTATAACAAGTGAAACTCTATTACCTGTAGTATTTTACATGCTCCCAATGGTGTTTCTTGGAATATGAAATCTTTGGGAAATCATTTTGTACCCAAAAACCCTTGTAATGAAATAATCTCCCCTCTCAGTTTTTCTATAAACTTTTTTTTATTAATTTCTTACGAAAAAAATAAAACATAAATTCTATATACAATAAAAAATGAAAATCATAAATGAAAGGAAGCAGAAGAAGAAAAAAATTTACATCTGCCCCTTTTCTTGAAAAAATAGATTCAGATAGAAAAATAATAAATAAATAAATTTTAACACCATTGTCCAGATTATTCCACAATCTTATTCCTTGGATCGAAGTAAACTGTTCCTTCAAACTAGTTTGAAATTTAGGTCTCACAAACATCTCTATCCCCTAAGCTCCTTTGTCTTTCCAATGATTGCAACTCACCTTAATACCTTCATGGTGGGGTGTATACAGATCACAGCTGAAGCAATGGAGGGTCATTATCTACTTCAAATGGCCTTAATTCAATTAAACTCTCCTTTAGGCCAGAAAGACCATCGGTTTCAACCAGTTTATGAGTGCACAGTGATGGTGAAGGAAACTAGACTCACAGACACAAAGACTTTCAGTTTTGGGTAACATTTTGTTTTTTTAAAACCTTTGGTAGTTCAGCACTTGCTAGAAAGGTTCTTGTCCCAACTCAGTTTTTAAAAATGTTATTTAGTTCTGACTTTGCAGTATAAGAGGGTCATAGTGGTAAACACAGTATTAATAACTTCTTTGTTTGAGCCAAGAGTGGCAGTCTTACCTTCTCATGAATGGCCCTGCGGTTCGACGGTTGAACCAGCACTTTGACACCATTGTTGGTGAGCTCTTTGACGTGACGTGGAGCCAGTGGCGCCCTCCTCTCCCAAACGTTGACGTCCTCCCGACGAATGGCCATGACCACCCCATGATGCTCATAGCGTTGCTGACCTACAAGGCAGCTCGGCCTCTTCTTACCTCGGAGAGAGAGAACCCTGAACATGACTTCTCCTCCCCTGCTTAGGATAAAGACAGGAAACAACACAGGCTGGTGAAGGAGCTGAGGGTCAGATAAAAAGGAACATCTGATATATTGTTATATGAGAAGCGAATTCCCTTTAAAACAATTCACTTCTTGGAACTATTGCATTAAGGCATGACAAAGACACAAAAAACTGAATCAGTACCACGTCCCTTCCAGATCAGTTGAACATAAAAGAGTCCCTCATGTATGTGATACACCAGCTGCACCCTGTGAGCTGTATAGATGCTACAAATATTTACTCAGAATTGAATGAAAAGGATCTTCCTCCTACTTGATTTAAAGTTGACTTTCAAGAAAAGAAAAATAGAAACATTGTCATCTTATATGTTGCTACAGTATCTGAGAAACTCAGAGAATTTTCTACAAACACAACATCCTGGTTCTTTTCAAATTTGAAAAAGCTTTTTTTGTGAAAACAAAAAACTCTGGTCGTGATGTCATCTCACCCTCGGCTCTGGAAATGGCTTCATGTCGTTGAAGTCTCTGTCAGTGACGCCAAATGTTGTCGTGGAAATATTCCACTTAAAGGCAGAAACACGTGAATAAAAGAAAGGTGTACTGCGTGGTTTGGTCGTCAATGATTTAATAGGTTTGCATATATGCAAAGATGAGCAGCGACGCAGAGGTTATGAATCAGAGGTCCCACCACGTAGCCACTGAACTAGCCAGTGCTGGCTCTACCCATTTTGGTGCCCTAGGCGAGTTGAAGCGCACCCCACCTCCCAAACTACGTCACACCCACCCCAATTTGAACCCCTAAAAACAAGTTTGACAGTGTAAGGTACTATGGTAAACTTAGATTTATTTGCTTTCTCAGAAAGCAAATAAATAACAACATACTTGTCAACTTGTACGGATTGTCCGTAAGTTACAAGGATTTTACGTCATTTTGCAGGTATACGGACGTATAGGACAATTTCACAGATTTTTTTTCAAGTCTTACGGATTTTTTCGAAACCTCATTTTCTAATTTATCTAACATGTCAGAGCTTGTAGGATCATTTAAAAAACAATAAATAACAGTAAATAACCATCTTCCAAACTGTTCTGCCAGTAGAAATAAGTTTTGAACTTTTTCCGCTCTCCTTTCTTCCTGCTTCGTAGCTGGCGCTTTTTTGAGACATTTTATACAGGTCTGAAGAGGTTGACATGTATGGGACAACAAAATACAGACTTGTTGTTATTGAGTTTGTCAACACAAACCGCTACCTGAGAGGCACTACTAGCCCCTGCCCCATCAGAGTGTCGGAGTAGGACGAGTCAGTGCAACGTCAATCACATGAGAGAGAGGGTGGGGGCGTTTGCTGCATTGAGGGGAGAAAATGTTTTATGGGTAGAGTAGTTTATTTTTCCTGTAATACTTCATTATAGTTTTTTTAAAACAAAGCTAATTGAAAGGGGCGCTTAGCAGAGTTAGAACTAGGGATTACAAATAATTACCGTATTTTTCGGACTATAAGCCGCAACTTTTTTCCTGAACTTTGAACCATGCGGCTTATAGTCCGGTGCGGCTTATACGTGGATTTTTTTCTTCAGCCACCAGGGGGCTCTTATGCTCCATTYGCTTCAACCACTCGCTTCAAAAAAAGAAAGGAAAAAAAAGCGATCGCTTCCAGAGCCGACTGTTGACCAGGAAGCAGCGATTTAAAGATAGTCAATGGCCAAAAACTCATAAAAGGGGATAAAACAGACATTTTTCACGGTGAAATCTGACTGATAAAAACTTTGGAGCTTAATCCAGGACCAGTTTGTGGATAAACGTCGAGTGAAGAGCTGCTGACTTTTTTTTCGGCATTGCACTCCAGGGGAAGGAATCCCATGCAGTGACGTATGCTGAGCGGGAGGGCTTTCCAGCAGCTCGGCTCTGGGTTTCTCAGGGGAACTATGAAAGGTCAGAGCGAAAACAAACGCCGAACAATCACGTGACGGCACGTCGACCGGTCCACAGCCGAGCGACCATACTGCCAGCTTAGCCAGAGGTGTAGCGCCATTTTGTTTTAGCTAGTAGCAGACACGACACGACAGATCTTCAACAGACACGATATTGGACAGTATGCGGGCCCACATCACGGATTCCGTGAAAGCAGCCATCAAGAAAACAAACTCAATCTTGCTGTTATTCCTGGAGGTACAACAACGTGTTTGCAACCGCTGGACATCAGTGTGAATCGTGTATTTAAAGCAGCACTCAGAGGTAAATGGGAGGCTTGGGTGACTGACGGGGATAAATCATTCACAAAAACTGGCCAAATGCAAAGAGCGTCATTTCCTGATGTCTGCCAGTGGATCCTAACAGTATGGAGCAGAGTGAATGAGTCCACCATCACCAATGGGTTCTGAAAGGCTGGACTGCTACGTGAAGAGGGCACCACAGCTTCAGAGCCAGCCCAGGAGGACAGCGACACAGAAACTGAACAGATACCGCTGTGTGACGCAGCTTGTTTAACTCCGACACTGAAGAGGAGGATTTCGATGGTTTCAGTGCACCGGAGGACAATGAATGAGACTTTTTGTTGGACCAGAAACTGTTAAAGAAAACTACCAAAATAAGGTCAGTTAAATGAACCGTATTCCTCCGAACTTTACCNGTAWTTTCTAAAGGTTTGCTTTTTATGTTTTAATTCCAGACCTCTCGCCTTTTTTTTCCGAGAGTTTATTATTATTATTATTATTATTATTATTATTATCATCATCATTATTTTGTACCGGTGAACTTGCCAACCTTTTTCTTAAAAATAAAATGTGATGTTGAATTCACTTTTTTGACCACAATTTTGGGTGTACTGTTTTGTTTTTGTTTTTACTGATGGAGGGTGGGGGGTGCGGCTTATAGTCCAAAAAATACGGTACATTTTTTCTTCTGCAGTCTGGCGCCCCCTCCAGCAGATGGCGCTCTAGGCAACCACCTAGTTTGCCTATGCCAAGAGCCGGCTCTGGAACTAGCAACAGACAGGAAATGCATATAAATACTTCCAGGTGGAGTCCATGAACAGCCGATCACAATTTTACAAGTTAGACAACTGTATCGAATGACCAATAATGGGATTCCAAGTTACACAGGCAATATGAAATGAGAGCAAGGTCCTTAGGCATCAAATGGCGTCTTTAAGAATCATGAGAGCAGATTATACAAATGTGGCAGTAATCAAAAAAATACAGAACAGAATGTGTCAAGGTAATGTGAACTTAGCAGTTAGGCAGGATTATATCATATATTTCCACCACAGACAGAAATAAAATGTACACGCCGTCTCTGTTGGTTTTAAGCATTTAAACTGTAAGAAATGTATGAAGGAAAAATGTCAAGATTTTGACACCATGGTGCACTTTGAAACCATCTCATCTACAATTAGTTTCTTTTATATCTTTTAAATGTAGCATTTGTATTTCCTTCTAGCCAAGCACAAATATCTGTTTCATCACTTACATTAAGAGCTAAAAGCATGAATAACACCCGGTCTATACAATTCCTGCATATATGAACTGGACCCTAATGAGACAATCAGAGATCCTGTTCAGTTGATGCTATAATCATTAATGTTATAATCATTATAGTGAAACACTGAAAATAAAAATATGGGCAGATACGTGTTAACACCGATTTACTGGCTCAGCTGCCTACAGCAGGTTCTTTGTGCTCGTATCTGTTATCAGTAATTATTTGATATTAATTGATCGAGTTGTGATGACTAAATTAAGACCAGAGAGGCTGCAGTTATTGCCGCATGGCAGCTTGTCTGCAACTGAATTTGACAACTTTTGCTATTAACAATATTACAAAATATATTCTCTGTAGTGTTTATATAAATCTTGTTATTCAGATTTCAAATGATGTGAACTTTGTCATATTTGACCAAGAAATAAGGAAGACATCATGGCATTTTGAATTATGCCACAGACACGTTATAATCCTGCCTTTGCACTATTTAGGTGTTAGGTGGGAGCTGCATGCCAAATTTAAGATGCTATAACTTTTTAATACACTCTATGCAGTTATTTTTTATCATTTGAAAGGTCTTTTGTAACACTACTTACTGTGCGTTGTATTTATCTAATTTAATAATCTCTCTGAAATAACTCATTAACTATCATGAATAATTTACAGTTAAGTCACCATTAGTCAGTGAAAATGTCTTTACCTCAGTCAGTTTTACGGTTAAAGAACTAAAACCTGCTATAATCGCAGTCGAGTAATCTAGAACTGAACGTGACATCTCGCGATATCTCAGGAGATCTCGCGTTAAGATATTTTCCAGGTTTGACAATAGACGCCACAAGTTTGTCATATTTCAGCATAATTTTAGTTTCAAACTCTGACAGGAAACGCGGCGGGCGACAGGTATTCTGTAATTATCTCCTAAACAAACGCTCTGGACCTGTAGCTTTAGCATGCACAGAGAAGTATCTGAACACATGGGTGATTTTTATTTCCGGAACCAGACCAATTGTAAAAGTTCTGCACATTAAAGCTTGACCCGCACGTTTAGCGACACTCCGCTACAGAACCGGCCCACTCGAACCCACCTTTAGGACCAGTTTCTATCCGCCTCCTGTTAGCTCAGAAACGCTGCAGCCACTCACACAGGACTTCCCCACACGCTGCAACTTCTACATGACTACGTCACACACGCGCTGCGCTAAACTAATCTGTTTCCGGTCGGGATTTCAAAATAAAACGCGAATTTTTTTTTTTTTTTTTTTTTTTTTTTTTTTACTAAACTCATGTTCGGGGACAATAAAATCACATCAGAGTTACACATAAATATGGGTGATTTAAAGTGTTTCAGTAGCATTAAACTCGTGCTGCTTTTAATTTAGTTGACATAAAACTGAACAAAAGGGAAGCCGTGGTGTTGCAGTTAGTTTTGGACCTTTATTTTTTTATTTTCCAGGGATTTGGGGCAATTCAATAAATTTACTACATGAGATAAAAGACTATGACATCAGGGCTGTGAGCTGTGATAGGTTAGATTGGCCCATGGAGTCACTTTAAAGGCATTTCAGCTGCCCCACGTGCGATTTCAGCTGAGAAGCAGGTCAACCAATGAGCTTCCAGAGCAGAGGAGCGGCCCACCAGGGGTATGCACTGTGGTTCTGGGGCCCTGAAGTGGCTCTTTAATAATCAGCCTAACATGAAGGAATATTAATCACTTGTCAGCTTCCACACCGTAGTTTATACAGCACATTCTGAGTATGAGTGCTGTGGTTCATGTGTTCGTTACATGAAAACTGGTCATTTTCTCTGGAACCAAAGGTTTTTGAATCCAGGTCTCATGCAGAGTGGAGTTTTTTTTTTTTTTTTTTTTAGAAAAATCCTGCAGAAGTATAAAATCACTTACGCCCTCATCCTCGGCCCAATTGAGCGTTCATTTATCCACAGTGAACTTCTCAAAACAGAAATGTCTGGCTGCAGGGCAGGTCTCAATGAAAGGCAAAAATCACCTGGCAGTACGTTGCCAGATATTTACAGTTTAAATCATTTCTCCATTTCTGTGCACATGTTCACCTGTTACAACGCACACCTCACCTTTGATCTATACTTTTGCTATAAACATGTAACATGTAAAACGTGAATGAAAATGTGCATGTAACCCCTGCAGTAACTGGATCTGTTCCTCACCAGTCAGCTGGTGTTTGATCCGGCTGGAAATGATAAAGAGTTTCCTGCTAAATAAAACCATGGAGACTGTCAGCAAACTCCGCCCACTCTTGGCTCCTGTTGGTGGTGATTCCCCTACGAGCTGACAGGGCAGGAAAATGAGTGATTTTGTACTGGTGTGGTGTGGCATTAGTTTTAAGTGTAGGCTGTTATCATGTTTGGTACCAGGACACCAATCAATAATGATCAATTTTCTCATCATATAATCAGACCTGCAGCCTTACGTTTTGATGGAGAGAGGGTCAGAGCTGTCACCAGATGGTGAGTTGGGTGTATTGATGGGGGAGGTTGCTGAACAGACCTGGTAAACTCACTGAATCAGGAGAGTAAACTGAGAACATCTAGTGAAACCCCGTGTGTCTTCATCTAACACTGGAACAGTTTTTACGTGTCCCAGGGAAGGCGGAATAAGAATAATCATGTGGTTCTTAGGGACTAGTTTTTATTCAAACAAAAAAAAAACAACACATTTTACAGTCATCATCTAAGTTTATTCTTATAGACTTTGTCAACATTAGGAAAATGGTCAAACATCACCAGCTTTCTTCTGGAACAGACTCTGAGTGGACAGGGTTGATGTGTGGTGTCTCACCGCTCACACTTCTCTGAGCTGACATCCTGGGATCCACCGAAGGTCCATGATAGTACAATTAATCTGAAGAGTTATCAGATGGCAGTAAAGTTCAGTCTGTCCTCAGTCCAAATCTCTGAGTTCAGTGAACTGACCAATCAGGTCTAGCGTTAGAGCCAGAGATCAGAGTCAGACCATGTGAGACATTTAGGGCTATCACAGGGCCCGTTGGGGTCCAGAAAACACCTGATGTTTTTTGTTTGTTTTGTTTTTTTCTTATGGTCAAAGGCTTGGTGGGGTCTAGCTTAGGATCAACAGGCCAGGGACGGAAGCAGGACAAAACCAGGACTTCCTCCTGGTCATAAGGTTGGACATCAGAAGATTGAACAGCAGAAGATTGGAACAGCAGAAGGTTAGACAACATAATATTGGACAGCAGAAGGTTAGACAGCAGAAGATTGGACAACAGAAGGTTGGACAGCAGAAGATTGAACAGCAGAAGATTGGACAGCAGAAGGTTAGACAACATAATACTGGACAGCAGAAGGTTAGACAGCAGAAGATTGGACAACAGAAGGTTGGACAGCAGAAGATTGGATAACATAAGGTTGGACAACAAAAGATTGGACAGCAGAAGATTGGACAGCAGAAGGTTGGACAGCAGAAGATTGGACAGCAGAAGGTTGGACAACAGAAGGTTGGATAACAGAAGTTTGGACAACAAAAGATTGGACAGCAGAAGGTTAGACAGCAGAAGATTGGACAGCAGAAGGTTAGACAGCAGAAGATTGGACAACAGAAGGTTGGACAGCAGAAGATTGGACAGCAGAAGGTTGGATAACAGAAGGTTAGACAACAGAATTAGAACAGGAGGTTGGACAACAGAAGGTTGGACAACAAAAGATTGGACAGCAGAAGGTTAGACAGCAGAAGATTGGACAGCAGAAGGTTGGACAGCAGAAGATTGGACAGCAGAAGGTTGGACAACAGAAGGTTGGACAACAAAAGATTGGACAGCAGAAGGTTAGACAGCAGAAGATTGGATAACAGAAGGTTAGACAACAGAAGTAGAAGAACAGGAGGTTGGACAACAGAAGTTTGGACAACAAAAGATTGGACAACTGGAAGTTGGACAACAGGAGGTTGGACAACAAAAGATTGGACAACTGGAAGTTGGACAACAGGAAGTTGGACAACAGAAGGTTGGGTAACAAAAGATTGGACAGCAGAAGTTTGGACAACAAAAGATAGGACAACAGAAGTTTGGACAACAGAAGGTTGGGCAACATAATGTCGGACAACAAAAGACTGGACAACAGAAGGATGGACAACAGAAGTAGAAGAACAGAAGGTTGGACAATAGAAGATTGAACAACAGAAGGTTGGACAACAAAAGATTGGACAACAGAAGGTTGGACAACAAAAGATTGGACAACAGAAGGTTGGACAACAAAAGATTGGACAACAGAAGGTTGGACAACAGAAGGTTGGACAACAGAAGGTTGGACACCAAATGTATGGACCACAGAGGGTTGGACAACAAAAGATCAGACAGCAGAAGGTTGGACAACAGAAGGCTGGACAACAGGAGGAACACTGAGCCAAATGTGAGAAGACACATTTATTTAGTGTCAGAAGGTAGGGACATTAAAGCTGCTGTTATTGATCAAGATCAAAAACAAAACCAGTGTTTATTATCACCAGCTGCTAAAAGGCAAAGGCAGAGGAGGCTTGGCTTGTCTGTTAGCAAAATATCTCATGTATTACTGGACAAATTGTATTGAAACTCTCAGACATGAAACACTTTAGGAATCAAACCAATTCAAAATAGCTCCTGAGCCAGCTATTGTAAAACAAATGTCTTCAGCTCATTCAGTTTGAGTGATCACAATATGGTAGTAGCTGAGAGCCATTCAAAATACACACTGAGTGACAAAACTCTGGTTTCTCCTCATGAGCTGATCTCCATCTGAAACATGATCAGTGGTTGGTAACGAGCTCTCCTTCAAGGACATCATTTTTAAAAGATGACTAAAACACTGAGGTACAACTCTGTTGTCAAAGCTTTGGTAAACATCAGGACAGAAGGTGTTGGCTTTAGATATTAGACTGAATGAACCTGACAGGTACAGAAACAGAACTGAGCTCAGGGTTTAAACCTTCACTCAGGATATAAAACGTTGGGGGGGGACCTCTGTGACCTCTGCTTTGGAAAAATACTGATAAAACTTGTTACAGTGTAACATTTTAAATAAAATATTTAATAAATGATTCACATGTATTTGTATTTGTATGTTTTAAGGTGATACGACTATTAGTGTAAAGAAGAAAGACAATAATTTTGTTTATTACTTAACCCTTTAACCATGTGAGTATTTTTATGTTGTGGACATAAATGAAGGATTTCACTTTGAAATAAATTATGAAGATAAAAAATAAGGCCTATTAGATTTATTGAATTATTTCTAATAGAAGCAGGGACTTTAATGATGTTTTTATCAAATAAAAGTTTTGACATCTAATACTTATTAAAATAATTTGCCATATTTTTTTTTGCAGAACTCTGTTTTATTGTGAAACAGAAGTTTTTATTTTTTTCCTCTGAACAACTTTGGTTGTTTGTGTGGTTCGATGTTCATGAAGCAGCTCAAGGCCTAACGAGCTGCTGGCATGATCTGGTCAACACGTTCTGCTCCTTCTACTGTTACTCTCACTCTCGCAGACATTTTATCAACATATTTGGAAAATATTGGACAGGAAAATTGCTAAAACTGGCTGCTTGTCTTACGAATTTTGGTCAAAGCTGAAAGAAAGGGACCAAAACGTCAGGAAACATCTGCAGAGCTTGATCAGATTGTTCTTCCATGTCGCCTCCAGGCTCTTTGGGGGGTGGGGTGGGGGGTGGGGGGGTGTTAGTGCGGCTGTGGCGGCGACTGCGCCCCAGCCGGGTCGTGCAGCTTCCTGATGTGTTTCTTCAGGTCAAAGTTCCTGCAGAAGCCCTTGCCACAGGTGGGGCAGGTGAAGGGCTTCTTGTCGTTGTGTGTGTGCATGTGGAAAGTCAGGTTGTACACCTGGTGGAACGCCTTGCTGCAGATGGAGCACTTAAACTGCTTCTCCCCGCTGTGCGTCAGCTTGTGGTTCTTGTAGTTTCCTGCAAGGGGGCGGGGGGAGGGGGGTGAGAGCAGGACGTCAGTAAAAAAAAAAGGCAAAGGATCAAAGCATCCACCTAAAATTTACCTCAAGACTTTACAATTCTAAAGAAGCTGGGATGTTGTGTCAAACATAAATAAAAACAGAATACGATGATTTGTTTCTCATTCTTGCTCGTTGAACAACTTCAGTTGCTCAACAGTGGAATGCTCCAAAACAGGTGTTTTCTTAGCAACTTTTCCAGTCTTTTGTTGACCCTGTCCCAAATTCTTTGGAACGTGTTGCAACATCAAATTCAAAATGAGTGAATATTTGCAAAAAAAAAAAAAAACTAGTTTCTCTGTTTGAACATTAAATATCTTGTCTTTGTAGTGTATTCAATTGGGATTCGCAAATCATCGTATTCTGTTTTTATTTACACGACGTCCCTACTTCACTAGAATTGGGGTTGTGGTTTCAAAACAGAGACCAGAGTCAGGACTCATACTGGGAGGTGGGGGCGGAGCCAACATGTCTGTATGTGTTAGTAAAACATCTGATCACTGAAGGAGTTTTAATGAAACTCTCAGCATTGAGTCTTAAACCCAATTGAAGACAGCTGAGACACTCATCAGTTCTTGTTGAATTTGATACATTTTCAGCAGAAATGTTGAAGAATAAAATGCAGATGTTTGAATTTATTAACTGTAAAAAAAAAAGAGGCAAGATGAACCTGTGTAAAAACAATCACATGATCATTACTTTACAGCCAGTGGTTTGAGTCCAGAAAAATTTTCCATTTGTGTCCAAATAACGAGTTAAAGCTGATTTCTGGTCCTTAATAAGACCAACACAGACTGTATAGGAAAAAGTTTATTATTTAGGTTCTAAACCAGCGGTCACATTACCCAAAAATAAAATGAATATTTCTCATCAGAACTCTGGATTCTGAGTTACGTTTTGTAGGTTTCTGCAGAAATGTGACAAATCTGTGAGATGATGATGATTAATTTCTCTTCAATCCACCAGAAAATCAAACATTTGAACACAGATGCAGCTGTACACAGATGGCACTGTAAACAATCTTCCTTCGAACAAAATGTAAAGACCTGCCTGTGATCAAATATCTAATTAATGTTAGACACCTCTCTGCTTTTATTAGAAGAATTTCAGTCCGTATTGTACAACAAATTAATCGAACAAGAAGAACTTTTTGTTCACCAAATTAAAATCTAAACAAGACCGACAAAGACCTGCAGAGCTCAGTGTTCAAAGGTTACAGATGTTTTTCCACAAACTTAAGGTCCGCGGGCCAAACCTGGCCCTTTTTAACATTTTCACCGACCCAAAAGTTAAAATAGGTAATAATTTTTCTTTAGCACAGTCTTTTCTCAACAGTAGTCAGATTTAATTCTGTATTCTCTTCTATTTTTAAAGGCACAGTGTGTAGGATTTGTTGTTTTCAGTGACATCTAGTGGTTGAGTGGTTGAATCATCCTCCCTGGTCCTCCCCCCACCCCCACCCCCCGCTTCCAAATGCAAAGGAGTTGCTACGGTGTCTCTCAGGTGTCAAAAACCTTTGATAATTCCAACCGCGATGTCTACCAGCAGCTTCAGGGCTAGTGATGTTTCAAGTGGTAAGATTATGAGCTTTAATAAGTAAAATGATCTGCACTGACCTGAACTGCAGGAGATTGTCTTGACCATGTCTACATG